GAACTCACGAACTCGGACATTTAGTTTCCTTTTGGAAAAAAATTCTGTGCAGCATCATCGTCATAAACCACTACTTCTTCTTCTTTTACTACTACTACTACTACTACTACTACTTTGTATTCTATGGTTTTGTATTGTACAGTTTAATTGGTGTGTTTTGATATGTAAGCAAATTATTGTGTGCTATTGGTTTATAAATATTTTGGAGGCGTGTTTTAATATCTACGTAGCTATTTGGGGCTGAAAATACTTCTGATGGATTAAAATTAATAAGTTTATAATTAACATAATAATTAGTTTTATTGATTAAAATATGTTGCATGTTTTGATAATTTAATGGGTATGACAATGTAAACAAAAACTTAAGAAACAGCATGTGACCATAGCTCAAAAAGTTGGCTTGTATGATTTTTCGATTCAGCACATCAAAATTGTCTAAATAAGCTAAAGAATTTCGACAATAAATTTGGTGTTGTCCTGTGTAATAATAGTTTTACATAAATGACCAGGTGAAAATGTTATGAAGCCATTTCTGACCTTGGGTCTCTGGTTGGGACCCAGAAGGTAATATGTATAAAAATCAAAAAATCAAATCAAATCAAATCAAAGGAGATAATAATAATAATAATAATAATAATAATAATAATAATAATAATGTAATTTTTGGCAATTCTTAAAAGTCTATTTTTTCCAGATTAAATTTTTAAAAATGGAAATAATAGTGCACCCGGTTTTCTCATATATAGCGTGATCGGAAAGATAAACTCAATCGGAGTCCAGTAGAAGCGCCTCTCTCTTGATAAACTGCCTAAAATAATAATAATAATAATAATAATGTTACAGGTCCTATATTGTGTAGCTAATTCTTGGTGGTGTTCATACCAATTTCTTGAAGTTTCTGTCGCCTAAATGTTTTAATAGTTACACTGGAAAAATCTGAAACTTTTAGGCGAAGGAAAACTGCTAGACATTGCTATAAACACCACCCAGACCCAGCCACACATATAGGACTTGTAACCATTTTATGAGACTTTACAATACACACCGACTGAACAAAGCAGACCGCCCAGCTATGGTGATTAATGGCCACAAAGCAGAATATGAATTCTTATTGACGTGGCAGATTCCTGCAGACTGCAACGCATATCTGAAGATCTTAAAAAAAGATAATAATACAAGGATGTGGCACATGAAGACATCATTAATTCAAGTTATGGTTGCGGTTCTAGATTTGAATGGAAAAAGGTTCTAATAAACTCACCGATGGGATCATTGGTAGCTTCCGTCTTGTGGAAATACAAAACTTCGCTTTCGCAAGCACGGTTCCCACACTACTAAGTGCTTTATCTATTTCAATTGTGAATACGTTAGTAGGTTGTTTTATCTTTCTTACGTAAATGTGTAGGAGAAAATGTCATGATGCCATTTCTGACCTTAGGTCTCCGCTTTTGACCCGGGAGGAAATGAGTATGCAACAGAAATAAAAGGAAACAGCAGCAACAACAACAACAACAGCAATAATAATAATAATAATAATAATAATAAGAAGAAGAAGAAGAAGAAGAAGAAGAAGAAGAAAAAGAGGTAGAAGAGTCAGGACCATAGACATTTCATAGTTTTTAGCAACCAATATTATATATTATCACATGCCACCCAACTGTTCGCTGTATCTTCTAGGACTTTTCCTTATCCCTTCCAATCTTCTTCCTCTATCTATGTTTTTGCTTATAACTTGTACGAACGTGCTTTTTTCTCAAATGCGGAAAAGAATAAAGAATACACAAGAATTCTCTACTAAATTCTACTTTCTTTTTTGTAGTCTTTCCTTTGGTATGTTTCTCTGTTTAAATTATTTTAATGAATCGCAATTGTTTCGCCTTTCCATTCTCACTTTTTCTATTTTCTCTTGACATCAATCCACCAAAATCTTTCTTCCTTTCATGCCTTTCTTCACTCAAAACCCTTTTCTCTCTTTCACATATCCGGTTTCTTTTGTTTGTTTGTTTGTTTTCCCCTTAACTCCCGCCTTTTCTCGTTCACAGTCTCTTCCCAGCTACAGACTTCTTCCCCTCCTTATTTCTCAATTCCTTCCCGCTTCGTATTATGTAGGTTTCTCGGTTAGAAGTGTAACTGATTCTAGCCCAGAAACGGTCATATATATATATAAACAGTTATAAGAATATAATATGCCATCGCTTCAGAAGTCTGCGTTACTTGGCACTGGAAATGTTCCGCGAAAGTGCTTCTCTGTCTATGATTGAGAAAACCCATAATTGAAATCTTTGCGAAACAAAATAATAATAATAATAATAATAGAACATCATCCACACCCGGATACAGAGATAGGACCTTTAACAATATTATGGGACTTTACAATACCCACAGACAGAACAATAGAAGCTATTTGCCCGGACATTGTGATCAAAGACCACAAGAACAGAATGTGCTTTCTTATTGACATCGTAGTCCCTGTAGATTAATTATAATGTATCTTTGAAGATCTTCAAAACGCTATCCAAATACAAGGATCTTGAAGTGGAAATCTAACCTGGCACATGAGGACATTAATAACTCCAGTTGTAGTTGGAGCCCTCAGATTGATTGGAAAAGGTCACGATAGATTCAGTGAAGAGATTCCGGGTAGCCGATACCTTAAAGAAATAAAACAAAAATGTACAGACAAATACAGATCACACATTACGAAGAGCTTTATCTATGGAAAATGTGGTTAATCTCATGGAACCATTTCTGATCTTAGATTTCTGTTTGGTGCACCGAAAGAAATGTGATCTATACAACAGAAATCAAAGGAAAATAATAATAATAATAATAATAATAATAATAATAATAATAATAATAATAATAATAATCGTGTTTTAATTTTGCGTGACCTTGCCTTCCTTAGTTAGCACGTAAGTTACCCCCTGCAATAGCTCATAAAGTATGGACTATTCCGTTTTGATCACGAGGAAAGACAGAAGACATATGTGAGGTAAAAGCTGTGAGAAAAACTTAGAAAGCAAGAAGTGAAGATAGAAGTGTTTAACGTCTGTTTCAGTGAAATAGAAAAAGTTGTCAAGTTTTGCTTTTTCATTCGTAGCCATCAATTTATGATGGTTATTGCAATATTTTGTTTAAGTTATTAAACTCAAATATTTAACGACGTGATAGGAGAATTGCTACAGTTATTGTATAGTCGTAGAACTCGCTATGAGCTGATTCAATCGTTAACTTAAGAATTAAGATTTATCAAAAAATTAAAATAGGAAAACCGTTAAATTTTCACAGGTATTTCTAATAATAATAATAATAATAATAATAATAATAATAATGACTGACACTCTCGAGATACGTTAATAAACTGTTTGTGTAACGAAAAGACGGATGAAGTTGACTCACTAACATTGAAGATCGTTAGAGTGAAGAGATAATCAATATGACATTCAAACTTTCCCGTACGATGACTAGCAGATGAACATTCCTCTATAGTACCTAGACTTTATGAATTTAAGCACAGTACTAAATTGGTGGCAAGGTCTCATCATTTTACAATTGAAATGGTTGAATGTAACCGTAAGTTTTATGTTAATAGTCACCTTATCGCATTTCTCGCTTGTGGAACTCTCTTCCGGTTTTTTGCTTTCAAGTCAACTTTGACCGTCAAAATATTAGATGCAGCGTCAATCATTATTTTCTGTCTTTTTAATTTTTCTTTTTTATTGTCCTCTCTCCTTAATAGTTTTTTTTTCTCACACTCTCAGTATACACTTTACGTCTTAGTAGTTTTATTGCCTTTCTTGGGGTGAAATGATAAAAATACGAGACCAGAATCTAAAATCAAAGAAATCCACTCTTATTTTAAGAGACAAAAATATTAACCTTGTTCATTGATATGAAGTGGAACGATTATATTAAACTAATTACTCGGCTCTGCTGCTAGCAAAATTGGTTCACTGTTTCGTGCTAAATAATTTTCTCGTCAGCATCTATTTTTTTTTATTTCTTTCATTTATTCGTGCTTTAGATATTGCTGCCACATCTGGTCTGGTGCTTCTGTAATGTATTTAGAGATTCATGACGAAAATGTATCCAAAGATGAATCTGCAATGTTATTGGTCTGGGTGTGGTATCTCAGCTTCATTCATTTTTCCACCGCCGTACCTTACCTTCCGTGAGCCTTTCTATAAATATTCTCATGATAAATGCTCACTCTTTGATATTTCGACTTCATGAATTTAAGCGCGGTACTAGAGTGGTCGATAGGTCTCATAATTCTACTTTAGAGATTGTTGGATATATTCTAATGCTATATCGCACTTCTCACTTGTGCAACTCTCTTCCGGCTTTTTGTTTTACTGTCAACTACGTTCTCCAAAAATGTAAATGCAACAGTTCTTGTATTGTCATCGCTCTCCTCAACAAGGTTTTCTCAGTATACTTCATTCTCAGTAATCGATTGATTCTTAGCGGCTTTATCACCTTGCTTAAGATGAAATGATTAAAAAATTAAATGATATAAACATGGCTGAAAAGAGGATATTTGAAGAGGGAAACAATTAATGCCGCCCTGAAGAATTCCACAGAAACAAACTATATTAAAAACAAAAGAGACAGACCACAGGAAAATATTGAATGTAGACGTCTAGGAGATAGAAAGCGACTTCATTAAAAGAAAGAACATAAAATATATATGACTGGGTAGGAAGAGTGATCTATTGGGAAAATTACAAACAGCTGCGATTCACTTATGCAAATAAGTTATTGATGCACGAATTAGAATCTGTCTGAAAGCATGAAGAAGAAAAAAGATTTTTTTTTTATTTCATGGCTATACACGATAGGCAGTCATGGTTCTTCACATCTTCGTTTTTAATATCTATAAATTGCCATGACTACCAAGGCATGTTTCCCGTTGCGTTCTCCAAGGTTTTGTATTCATGCCTTTATATAGTAATATGACATTCAAATAGATTACCCAGTTCTAACTATGAGATCAAGTCATGCCCCATCGCCGGTACACTCTCTCTCTCTCTCTCTCTCTCTCTCTCTCTCTCTCTCTCTCTTTCCAAAAAAGCAGTACTAGGCAATCAAAAATTCACAACTATGGTACTTTTCTGGTTCAGTTTCTTAGGCCAGCGTCCTCATCGTTGTTGTTTATATCATAATGTATTAAGTATTTACTTTTTTAATAATTTCATCACAAACGAGGCGGGGTTACCACAGTACGCAGGGAGTTACAGAGAGTGAGAAAAGACTGGGTTTAGGTAGGGGGCAAGGAAAGGATAAAAGATGAACGAGGTTCAAGAAGAGAGAAGATGGTGATTGACATTGCATTTAAACTTTTGAAGATTGTAGTTATAAGGGAAACAAAGAAACGGAAGGGAGCTCCACAGGCAGGAGGTGCGAGAAAAGAAAATGTTGGAGTAGAAGTGGCGGTTACGTTTAACTATTTGAACAGTAAAGGGTTGAGACCTAGATGCCAATCTAGTAGCACGCTTAAATTCATGTAGACGGGACACCAAGGAAAAAAGTTTGTCAAAGCAATTGCTATGAAAATATTTGTGGAAAAGACAGAGGGAAGCCACAACATGCCTGTGACTGAAATCGAGATGCCAACTTAGGATCGTTTATATTGCAGATTCTTCTTTATGAATAGCAGGAGCACCAGAACAGATATGGCAACAGGATTCAATGCACAAACGAAAAATTCTTTTGGTGTGTATTAAGTCAGGCAAATAAGAACAAGATACATATGACTCGTTTGAATTTTTATCATGAAACGTTCATTACAAGGATTAGCAGCCTTACCATTTACAAGTTACATGAATGACAATGTGCAAACTGCAAAATAATTATGTGCCGCTTAAAGAGTTAGTGTCATGTTCGTGTGTTGTTCGTTAAGTTCTGAAGTAGGAATATTTGATTAGGAAGACAGTCTTTGAGGTTAATTTCTATCAACGACCTTCCGGATGATTTCAGTTCTCAACTTGATAATCTATGCAGATGACACAAAACATTTAACCCTGCCTCGATAAATAAGGCAGATCAGTTCGATAAGATCAAATTAACAGTTAATCTAAAAAATGACCTAGAGTTTGTTGTTAATTTCTATCAACGACATTCCGGATGATTTTAGTTCTCAACTTGATGTCTATGCAGATCACACAAAAAGGCAGATGAGTTCAAATTAACAGTTAATCTAAAAAATGACCTAGAGTCAGGAGCGAGGAAAAACGAAACTTCTCTTTATTAGTTTTCCGAAAGCCTCCTTTCCTGCCTCCCATCTGCTTGGCTGATGCTAACCTCCAGGAGAGTGACTCGTTGCACGTTCTCTGTCTAACGTTCTCGGCTGATATGAAGTTAAAAGACTAAAGGGAATCCATGTTAGGTTTGCTGCTAATAAAGTCGGTTCATTGTGTCATGCTAGACAATTTTCTCTCTCCAGAATCTATCTTACGTATTTATATTATTGGTCCTAACCTGGCATCTCAGCTTCAGTTATTTTCCCACCGCTATAATGTTGCTTCCCTGTGCCTTTTCTATAAATACTTTCCTGCTAATTTTTCTGATGAAATCTTCGCTAGGCTACCTAAATTATATGAATTTAAGCGCAGTGTGAAATTGCCGTCATTTGGCTTTGATGTTAACAGTTTCTTTTCTTGCACCTCCCTTTTGTGGAACTCTCTTCCACCTTTCCAGTCAACTTTAAATTTAAATCAAATATCAATCGTTTTCTATTGTCTTGATTACTCTTTTATTCTTCATGCTCCCTAATGTTTCACTTTTTTCTTCTACTCCTACACTCAGTAAAACTCCTTGTGTCTTAGCGGCTTCATTGCATTGCATGGGTTGATATGATTAAAAAGAACAAAAATAGACATTGACAAGTTTGGCTGGGATGTCATACTGCATCCGTCGTAATCATCTAAACTTGCACCTTCAGATTTCCACTCATTCTGATCTATACGAAATTGTTTTAAGGGGAAGAACTTCAGTTGTATTCAAACCCGTCAAAATTACTTAGACCTGTTCATCAGCCCAAAAGTTCTAAGAAGATGGAATTATGAAGCTGGCGAAAGATAGTGGAACAAAATGACACATATGAGGCTGAATAAATATATAAGCCAATGTCAAAATATCAGATCATTGCAAAAGTCCATGCCTAATTAGAAAATTAAAAACAAAAATAGATAATTTTACATAGTCATTTATTAATCAAGTATAAAGTTTTAACAACTGTTTTCCATCATTCTACAAACCTTGTTGGTGCCATTTTCGCATAAACTTCGTGTTTTTTGTTGGATTTTTAAAATCTTTCGCGATAAAGAATCTTGCAGGAATATCCGTTTTTATTTTTCGTTGAAAGAATTCTGCCAACCCTAGATGCAATATCAGGAGAATTCGACAGAGCAATGAAAATTTCCCAGTTCAAATTTTGTCTTTTTAGCGAAGATTTTTTCATTGATTTGTTCTTTACGGGTTATCGACCTTTTGCTGGTTATTTAAAATAGAAAATATTTTTAGATTTTTAAGAAATTATTTTGAAATAATTATTTACTGATATAAGCCCTACTAATTATTCCATAGCATGGGTGAGAAAAACGAATTCATACCTTTCCGAATGGTATTTGTCCGTAACTGAATATAACGAACCCGACTGGATTTGGAACTCGGCTCTTTGATTAACAACTCCGAGCCGTTTGATTACCCGCACATCCAAGCTTACATCACCTGGTATTCCCAAGCAGTCACCCATCTAGGTATTGATGAGGCTTGGCTTTGTTTAACTTCGCTGATCGTACGAGAACCGTTCTTTCAAGATGACTTTAAGCCTTTTCAACAAAGACCTGTTCTAGAATTGAAAACTGATTCACCACGATGCTCTTCTTTTCAATTAATTCCAAACGGATGTCTTCCATATTATTACAAAGTATCAATTTTTCATCATTCTTTCTCAGTTTTGTTCAAAAACAGAACATTTTCATTATGTTCAAATAGCGAGTCAAACACTGAAATACGACCCACTCAGTATTTTTCGCTCCTATGATGTCACATCTTGAAAGAGACTAAGAACATAACTGGTGTAAATTTTAAATAAAATTAATTGGTATATTTTGAGCGTGTTGGCTATCTCCTGTTTTGTATATCATTGATTATTCTCAAATATTGTCTAGGTTTGATTGTTATCAACCTCTGCAGATCTAATTAACTGTAGAATCTTCCTCTGCGTGAAATCTCTAGTGAAAATCCTCGGAAACCATTTTTAACACGATTGAATATTCATATTACTTTCTCCATAAAACTACGTTTCTTGCGTTTGAGTCGATTTTTCTTCTTTATATGCCGTGTCCCTTTAGAACGTAAGTTATCATGGATCTCCAAAATTTCCGGTCATTCGTAGCTCTTAATAAATTTTATTTGTTATTTCTCTAAAGCCTTATTCTGTCATCCATTTACTCAAGTACATTATGCGTTTACCTCTTTCTCTCTTGTCTTCAATTTGTCCTGTAAGTATCAGATTTTCCATGATTTCATTCCTCATTTTCTGTCCGAGAAATTTCAACTCTCTTTTTTTTTTTATCATTTGTTCATCACATCCTCAGTCCATATCCCCTGCATTCTTCTGTAAAAACACATTTCTGTTGTTTCAAATCTTCTTCTTTTTTCTATTCTCCAGCATTCAATGCCATATAAATAGAAAGACAGATATCAGTACTCTTTTCTTATTTTCTAAAGTAGTTTTTTTTCCTGCTTCTTAATACTGTGCTTACTGTTAATTAAATATTAAAAAAGTTGCCGGTATTTTTTATAATTTTCTTTCATCTTCATTGAGAGACTTAATAAACAAAAATTTCGCCAATTTTGAAAATTTTCTTTAAATAAAATGCACACGGATATGGCAGCTTCACAATACAACGAATAGCGATGTTTTTGAATATCTTAACTCATATATATTAATACTTTTTAAATATCTTATCTCTTTGGAAAGAAACATGAACTTTGGCAACATTGTTCGGGCAATGGAGCCATTTCTTCGTCTAAATGTTGAAAGAGGCGGCCTATGTCGACCAGGTGTCTAGAACGAGCCAGTTGAGATTTTAACACAACGTGGCCTTTTTCGCTATCATTACTCTTGGTATAATTTGGAATTGCCCGGCTAGTTTATATACCCCGTGCTCAAGAAATTAACTGCTGCCGTCGCTATATTAATTAATTCAAACTATTTTTTTCTTAGAATTTTCTGATGATTAATAATTCTTAAGTTGATAATTAAATAAATTCCTTCCGAGTTTCCCGAATATAAAATACGCAAAGAAATTCCGTATTAACAATTTTTGGAAAATAAACATTTTTTTTCCAGACACAAATCATACTATAGTTAGGGTTGATGTCTTTTCAAGGGTATTTGCGCGTAAATGAATGTAATAAAACCTACTGGAATTCGAACTCGGGTCTCCGATTTCGTTTAAAGAAGTGAGAGGGTACAAATTAAAATATTCCGAATTTCCGAAGCGGACATTAAAAGCATCAGAGCGTTATCGCCTCCAGTACTTACTTTCTTTCTTTCTTTCTTTCCATGGTGATTTTCTAAGTATACCTTAGATGTGGCATAAGGCTGAAAGTATTGAGTACCTAGTGAGGATTTTACTCATCACCCAGTCGCAGTTGTTCTAACAAGACAAGCTTGTTAACCATTACACCACGCTTCATAAGGTACACTTTTTTGATGACAAGTCCTAATGCCCGTGACAATTTACCAATCGAGGAACAAAGGTTTATGATTGCCAATCGACAACTTTTTCCTGGAAGAAGGTTGTTTCTTTCTTCCTTTTATTTTTTAAATTCTCATGGAATCCACCTGAGGAGGGCTGAAGTACGTCTCCACCGAAACGTGTCAACAAGAGTAAGCTTACGAAAAAGCGGTGCATTTGTCGGGACAATATTTCAGATGAAAGTTAAACACATCTAAAGAGAAGAACATAATGAACTCTTTGGAAAAACTAGTATCAGATTCATTGTTTGATCTTCCTTTATTCCTTGACGGAAATTTATCCTACCAGTTCAATGACGGTTAGTCACTTGTTGATAGATTCTCTTTTATCTCTTTAGCGAATGT